GTAGACTTTGGTACTACTCGTAGTAATAAGGTCAAAACATGAACTAACATCTGATATTAAACATAAAGACAGACCAGTCACTTGTAGATTTACTCTCCAAAACATAGTACAGTTACTACCAAGTACTGCAATGTAAAAAGTGATTACAGTATATAGGTGCCAAGCAGCTCGTGCACTGACGCATGCTGCTGTTCCACTGGACTGTATATGTGCAGGAAAAGCTCATTGACAAGAACAAAGTGGTTCCCTCAGCACTTTGCTCTGGTTTTACTCAGACAGAGGCACAGGAGGCACATTTTTCACTTTTAGCACACTTCCTGTTTCAAAGTCCCTCATATTTATGCACCTCCCGTTTAGATTCAGTTTTATTTTTAAAAACAAATCAAAATGTCAATGTTCATTTTCTGAACATAAACTAGATCTACTTTCAGTCAGTTCAGTTTAAAGCAATGGTATGTAACTTTTCTGTCAAAAATAGACTAAAATAAGGTTGAAACATAGGTCCTGACTGTCAGTGGGCTCGCATCTCCACAAACCTGACTCTTAATTCTTGCTTATTTATGGAAATGTTCCTTTGGCTTCAACAGTATGGCAGAAAACCTCTGAAATTTCTACGGAGAAGTGTGGTTTTAACTTTCTGTTTCCATGGAATCATGCTGAAAAATCATCCAGAAAGTTACATAATCTAGCTTTAATACAACAAATAGCCAAATTTCTTCCTCTAAATTCCTAACTTATCCCCAAATCACTTGTCTGAGCTACAGACGAGTCTCACTATTCAAACCCTCCTTACAGTTAGCAGTACAAGCCTGTACGAGGCTCCACCCACAAGCCTACGTCTATGCTCCACACGACAGTTCTCCATAAATACACAAAACTGCACACAGCAACTGGACACAGGTGATGTGATGTGCAGGAGTTTCATGAGTGTTGGGAAAGTGACTAAAAATACATGTTCTGTGTTTTCAGCAGTTTGGCATTTTCACAACAGTAAAAGGTGAAAACACGTGAGTTAACTCACATGTTTTCACCTTTTACTGTGAGACTGCTACCCCACACAAGTCAAATACCCCGTCTTTAGACCGGGCTCGGGCATTGAGCCGCTCCACCCGCTCCTCCCGCTCCACCCGCTCCACCCGCTCCACCCGCTCCACCCGCTCCTCCCGCTCCACCCGCTCCTCCCGCTCCACCCGCTCCTCCCGCTCCTCACCCGCTCCTCACCCGCTCATCACCCGCTCATCACCCTCTCTTCACCCTCTCTTCACCCGCTCCTCAAGCCCAGTGCCACCCTCATTTGATGCACACAAAGATTGATATTTGCTGCTGTGTCCTTGGGCAAGACATGTAACCAATTCTAGTTGGTATATGGAAGTTTTGATTTGAAGTGAAACACTGATGAAGTGGCAGTAGTAACTGAGGAGTAGATTTAAGGGAGGGCATCAGGTCTTTTTGCTGCCTTAAGTGACGTAATTGTTGTTGATTCTTGTGTGTTCTGATTGGATGGTGTGAGTTTCTCCCTGTGGTGCTGCTGTGCTCAAATACCTCCCCTCAGATCACACTCATCCAGCTAATCACCGTGCTCCCCCTCTCCCTCTCTCTATCTATCTCTCCATCTATATTTATCTCTCCCTCTCTGTCTGTCTGTCTATCTCTCTCTATGCTCCTTACTCTCTATCTCCTCTCTTATTTTCTCTCTCTCTTTCCTCTCTCTCATATCCTCTTTCTCTCTCTCCATATCCTCAGTCTTCTCTCTTTTCTCTCCCTCCATCTCCCCCTCTTCCCCCCTCTATCCTTTTTTTGTTCTGTCTCTCCTCTCCTGTCCCTCATGCGTTCTCTGTCCTGTCTTTCTTTCGCACATCTTCATTACATTTCATTTGCAGCAGTCTTCTCTGCTGCTCTGCTTCCACATGTGTGTGTATATTTGTGTGTGTGCTTCCACATGTGTGTGTATATTTGTGTGTGTGCTTCCACATGTGTGTGTATATTTGTGTGTGTGCTTCCACATGTGTGTGTATATTTGTGTGTGTGTCAGTCATGTCATTTGTAAGAATAAAAGCATCTGGTCACACAAACTATAGAAACACAATGTGGGAGTGGCTCGCTCCTCTTGACATGGGTTTGATTGACAGAGGGACTAACCAATCAGAGAATACATGCTCTGTTTGTTTCTAACTAAATCTAGAAATAATTACCTATGCTTTTCTTACACACTCACACACACACACACACACACACACACACACACACACACACACACACACAGTTTTCTTACAGGCAGATTGGGTTTGGTTCATTCTGTGTTTTGGACTGTATCATTGAACAGGCTCCAGATGCTTCAAATCCAGCTGCAGATGTGCCTCCCAGAACAAACTGAGACTCCAGTGTCAGGCCAGAGTCACTTCTTAAACACACCAGTGACTTCAAACTTTTACTCTACTGTTGTTATTCATGAATGCCCCCAGACATCACACACACACCTACACACACACACACACACACACACACACACACACACACACACACACACACACACACACACACACACACACACACACATACTCACTTTTCCCAGCTGTCTCCCCTCTCGGCTCATCTCTTCAGAGTTTTTACTCATGTTATAGCTGTTCGTCCTTCTCACTGACCCTCTCAAGTTGTATTTGGAGTGATTTGTGCATGTTTGAGTCTTTATTCTTCTTTTATCACATATTTTCAAGACGCCATATTGCTGCTCAAGCCCGGTGTTCACTGCCACTGGCACACACCTTGATTCGTTTATTTATTTAATGAGACAGGGACACAATCATGAACCTTAACACCTGTAGTCCTGGGGCAGGTTAATTGATTGATTGTATTTAATTGACTTTAGCTAACAGCTATCAGCTATTCTTCCTGGAGAGGTCATGCATTATGCAGTTTTCTCCATCAGCGATACATGTAGCATTTGGCAGCGCAGCTTAGTCATTTTAGTACAAAAAAACCCAACACTGCTCTTCAGTGTGATGTGCAGATAGACAAATCTCGCTCTCATTGTTTTCCTTTAGGGCGGACGAGGATGTAAATCGTGCAGAGGGTGACTTTCTGTGGTGTTCACGGTATGAGCCATTTAGACACTGACCCCAACAAATCCATCACACCGACTCTGTTTATGATGATGTCTACAGCGATGTCAGCTCCCATTAAGTGGTTTTAGATTTAAAAAAAAGTGTAAATAATAACAGAATGATCCACGGGTGTCAGAGATTGTAACTACAGAGCAGACTCAAGCACAATCTGTGACCTTTACTGTGACCTACACATTATAACCTTACAAGGCATTCAGATCAATACACACTGTCTTCCACCATCAACCCAGCTCACCCGCAGCAGCAGAACGTCCACCTCCTCAGCCTCTCCACCTCCTCCTCTTCACCACACCATGGACAATGAGGAGCTATACATTCCCTAACAGATCCATCATGTGTGAGTGTGTCCCAGCTGTGTGTGCAGTCTCATCTTGTTTTGTGTGGAGCAGCTGGAGCCTGGTCCCTCTGCTCATTATCGTCCTCCTGTTTACAGCTCCAACCAATCAGCACGAGCCGTTTAAAAACCATATGACAGGTTCATTCTGACTTGGTTTGGTGGATAGTACCTGTGGTAAACATTATCAGAGTTTTACATCAGTTCACTGGCAGTTTGTGGAAATAGTTGAGAGAAAAAAAATAAAAAATACAGGCAGTAGCTCTGAGCTCTAAACCCTCTCTGTGTGTCTGTTCTAATGTAGTTTCCTCATCACAAACAGACCTGGAGTTTCATTCACACATGTTTAACACACAAACCCTGCAGATTTAGACTGATGTCTCAGACAGAAAACACTCTTCTTCACCTTGCGATGTCATGTAGTGATACAGGACATGCTCCACTGTCTTTTTAAACTCCACAAACCTTCACTAGAATCATCTGGATGATTTCAGTCCTAGAATTGTCTCCTCTCTACTAAACTAAAGGGTAAAGGTTCACTTTAAAAGTACCACTTCATGACATCACAAGGAGGAACACAGCATTTTGAACTTTGGAGATATAGATAGATATAGAATAAAAGGTTACTCAAACAAACAAATGTGTGAATGAAACAAAGCACAACTCCAGCTGTTTTGAGGAGGTCATTCTAACTCACAAAAGTCAGTTTCGTGTAAATAAACTGTAGGACCTATAAAGCTCCAGCCAATCAGCACGCTCCGTCGCACTTTCACATCTCATCATTACAAGTGGTCGACCTCTCCCACTTTTCTTGTACTTTTCACCCAATCGAACACATTCACCACTCAGCACTGTAACTTCTGTGTTTGTGTATAAAATATGAATGTGCTGCTCCGGTCTGTCTCTGAGCCTCTTTAAATTCATGTTTGGGTTTCACAGATTAAAGGTTAAAAAATCAACATTCTTTTCAGTCTGTGCGTTTATAGAAATATTCGAGTCATATTTCATTGGGCTGGATGAATCATTGAGCTGTTTTGAGCTGTTTTTGCTCACTCGCTAATGGAACTACATTTTATGAGTGGCTTTTTTCCACTCGGGGGAAATGCTGCTCTGCGCTCTACAGAGGATTAAACACAGGTCTGATTAGGAAAGAGGAGGCATGTTTTACACCAGATGCCCTTCCTGCCATTACATTACTGTGACTGAGTGAGAAATGAGGGTGAAGTGTCTTGCTCAGGGTCACAATGGCAGGACTCTCTGTCTCTGTCTCTGGGTTCCTCTGTCTCTGTTCATCTGAAGAGAGGGAGCTGTCGTTTTGTTCAAATTGATGAGACCAATCAGCTCCTTTGTTTCACATGTGTCACTCAAATAACCAAATCTGATTGGATGACTGTGTTTGTGACTGACATGGTGGAGACTGTGTGGTCCACACTGACCCTCTGTATAAAACACACACACGTGTGTGTATTTGCCATGTGACCAGCCTCTGGTGCTCTGTCTGTGTCCTCCAGCCCTCTGAGAAACATCTCTCTCTTTCTTCACAGAATGAGCCCTCGCTCCTGCTCTCCAGTCCCAGGATGTTGCTCCCTCCGTCAGGCGCAGCACAGCCAGGAACGCCCCTGTCGCCCGGTGCGCCCCTGTCAGTGCACCACCACATCCAGCTCCTCCAGCAGCAGCTCCAACAGCAGCAGCAGCAGACCCATGTGGCTGTGGCCCAGGTGAGCCTCTCTAAAGCTCAGATCAAACTTTCCACATGGAGATTCCACAGGAGACCTAGACGAGTCACTGACTCAACACAGAAACACTGTTGACTTCTAGTGAGTGCGGCCCATGCGGCTGCAGACGATCAAAACAGAGCGTCCCACACAGACATGTGTCCCTGTGGGACGTGTGTCTGTTGGACGTTCCACTGGACACTCAGACAAATCAAACATTAGAGGTGCAAAATACAACTGCAGGAAATGACTGAAGGAAAAGTATTTAGGAGGGTGAGGAGCTCAGTCACACGGGAGGAGCTCGGAGTAGAGCCGCTGCTCCTCCACGTCTAGAGGAGCCAGTTGAGGTGGCTCGGGCATCTGTTCCGGATGCCTCCTGGGCGCCTCCCTCAGGAGGTGTTCTGGGCATGTCCCACCGGGAGGAGGCCCCGGGGAAGACCCAGGACACGCTGGAGGGACTATGTCTCTCGGCTGGCCTGGGAACGCCTCAGGGTCCCCCCGGAGGATTTGGAGGACGTGTCTGGGGTGAAGGAAGTCTGGGAGTCCCTGCTTAGGCTGCTGCCCCCGCGACCCGGCCCCAGATAAGCGGACGGAAATGTATGGATGGATGGAAAAGTATTTGGGAAAACTACAAATACTCAAGTAAAAGACTTTTTTGACCTGTGCCTGTTTTGGGTTCAAGGCAGAAACCAGCGGGAGAACATGCAAACTCTACACAGACTGTAGAATATATAAAAGAAGTGGACTAAGTGAGTGTGACGTCGCCCACACTGTTCACATGAGGCTCATAATGCTCATGGTTACAGGAGCCAATCTGGAGCCAGGCTCTGTGTTATGAATGTTATGACAAAAGAGCGAAAAAAAAATCAGGATCATGTGTCGTGGGGTAATTCAAACATTTTAAGACCAAAATGATGAGGCCACAGCAGCAGGTACAGAGAGAAGAGCCACAAGACCCTCATGTCAACGGAGCCAGAGTCAGAAGGAGCCAGAAGAGCCTCCTGGCCTCCTCCTTCCTGTTTGGCTCACGGCAGCTACAGCGTTAGCTTTGTCCACTCATATATACAGACACAGAACATGTAAACTCCACACAGACACAGAGAGAACATGCAAAATCCACACAGACACAGAGAGAACATACAAACTCCACACAGAAAGAGCCGTCTGGAGTGTGAGCCAAATGAAGTGACTGAACAGGACAAAATGTAAACAATGTACAAGTGATGTGAAGGTGTTTTTACTAAAGCACTTCTAAAGTTTTCTTATCACACCACAGACTAACAACCATTTCCACTGAGGGAGATTTGGATCAGAGGAGAGACGAGAGAGGAAAGGGGGAGGAAGAGAGGGAGTGTGGGGAAGAAAGGAGGGACAGAGAGGGAGGAGGAGAGATGGAAGAGAAGGAGCACTAGAGAGAAGAGAAAGGAGGGAGAGGAGAGATGGAGGAGAGGTAGAGAGGTGGAATGGAGAGATGTAGATTGAAAGAGAAAATGGGGAGAGAGGGGGAGAGGGGGTGGAACAGGAAAACAGATTAGAGAGAGAGAGAGGAGGAGGAGGGGGTGTGTGTTAAAGTTCCAGTGCCAACAGTGAAGTGAAGACTCTATTGAATAACACACTTTCTCTTTTTAAACACACCAAATGAGACAAATGTTCAAATCATTTCAGACTGTCACATAAAGCTTTTGTCATGTTAGACTCACTCACAGTGGGAAGAGGAGGCACTACTTTTACTCAAGTAAGAGTACTGTTACACTGTACCAAATATTACTCAAGTAAAATATGGGGCTGAAAACTCCTCTGAGAAGTACAGTTTCATGTCTGTAAAGGTTATGGAGCTAAAATCTGAATACTAGCTGGTTGTACATTTCTCTGGCCACACATGCCTCGGGGCAGACTGTCAGACGTGGCTGTCCAGTACTCATCATCACAGATCTGTGTTTACTGACACTGTAAACGTCACACTCGTTTGGAGCTTTAAGCCAAGTTAGAATGTCCTAACCTCATCAAAAACAGACCTGGAGTTGTGTTTTTGGTAACACTTCATAATAACTACACCTCATTTAGCCTTAATAAAGCATGAACAAAGACTTAATTAATAATGATTCAGGCTTAGTAACTACTTCATTACTACCTGAATTAGCACTTAACTTGCACTTAATTCACCTGTGCTGTAAATAGTTACTCATAAGTATTTCTTACTTAATTATTCATGAACTAACCATTTTTGTGTGCATTTGTAAATGTATATTTAAGTACAAATTTGAGCATTTATTAATGATTAGTAAACCATGCGAGAATGATTTACTAGTAATGCATTATTGTTTCTTTGGAATTTGACCAACCTTAACAAATGTTTAATAAAACATAATTAGTCTTCACTTTAGAAAAACTCTCAGAAAGACTTAACTAACAGATAACAGCTGCCTGCATGATCATTGTATTGTATTATTAGTAAATCATTCTCTCATAACTTACTAATGATTAATAAATGCTCAAATGTGTACTTAAATATGCATTTGTAAACATGCAAATGGTTAGTTCATGAGTAATTAAGAAGTATTGAGTTACTATTTACAGCACAGGCGAATTAAGTGCAAGTTAAGTGCTAATTCAGGTAGTAATGAAGTAGTTACTAAGTGTGAATCATTATTAATTAAGTCTTTGTTCATGCTTTATTAAGGCTAAATAAGGTGTAGTTATTATAAAGTGTTACCATGTTTATTTATTTATTTTTTTTCTTCACACATGTTTGAGTAACTCTTATTAGTTTGTCTACATCTCCAAAAGCTCCAATTGATCTGTTCCACCTTGTGATGTCATGAAGGGGTTTTCAAGTCAACAGTCACCTTTTCCCTTTAGTTCAGTAGAGTTTGGCAGTTCTGAAATCATCCAGATGATTCTAGTGAAGGTGTATTGAGTTTAAAGACACAGTGGAGCTCTTCCTGTATCACCACATGACATCACAAGGTGGAGAGAAGAACTTGTGCTAAATGTGCAGGGTTTGTGTGTTAAACATGTAAATGAAACAAAACACACCTCCAGGTCTGTGTGTGACGAGGAAGTGACATTAGAACAGAAGAGAGTGTAGTATGAGCCCTTTAAAGACCCACTGTGTAACTTTACTTCCTCATCCTCTTCTTTTTCTTTGTGTCCTGCTCTTCCCTCCTCTTCCTTGTTTGTTTCACTTCCTTAAACATTTCTTTTTTCTCACTTTCTCTCATTCTTTCATCCTCCTCATTTTTCCTTCACTTCCTTCTCATTTCTTTCCCTTCTGTTCCCTCCACTTCCTTTTCATTTGTTTCTTCCCTTCTTTTCCTTCCTTCATTTCCTCCTTGCTTCCTCCTCCTTTACCTCTCTCCACTGTCCTTGTCTTTTAGTCCCCTACTTGCTTCCTTCCTTTCCTATCTATTTTCTTCGCTCTTGTTTCCTTCCTCCCCCTTTCTCTTCTCTCCTTGTTTCCTTCCCTGTTCTTCTTGTTTCCTTCCGTCGTTGTTTCCTTCAGCTCCCTCCTTATTTCCTTCCCTCTTGTCTGTCTCGTTTCCTTCCCTGTCTCCTCTTATCCTCCTCCTCCCTCCTTATTTTCTTCCCCCCTCCTTGTTTCCTTTCCCCCCTCCTTGTTTCCTTTCCTCCCTCCTTGTTTCCTTCCCTCCTTCCTTGCGGCCTCACCCCCCGCACACATCACTGAGCTCATCTGTGTGTCTGTTTTTACAAAAGCTCCTCTCAACGTTTTCTTATCACTGCAGCCAAATACGACTTTTCCACTCCGGGAGATTTGTAACGCAGATGAGAGGAGGAGGGGAGAGGGGGAGGAAGGAGGAGAGAGAGAAAAGAAACAAGGGAGAGCAGGAGGAGAGACAGAGGGGAAGGAAGAGAGAGGAGGAAAAGAATGGACGGAGAAGAGGAGAGCGAGTGGAGCTGAAGGAGGAAGAGAGAGAGGAGAGGAGGAGAGAGGAAGACAGGTAAAAGGAAGGAGAGAGAGAAGAGAGAGAGAGGGCCTAGAGGAAGACGAGGGATAGAGTGAGAAGAGAGAGAGAAGAGTGGGGGGGGCACAGGAAGATAAGTGAAAGGAGGGAGAGAAAGAGAGAGAAGAGTGAGGGTAGCAAAAGATGAAGGGAGAGAGAAGAAAGTAGAGAGAGGGGGAGTGTGACTGTAGAAGAGAAGAGAGCAGAGGAGGAGAAATAAAAACAGGGGAGAAAGAGAGGAAGAAGAGGTGACTGGGTGAATGCAGAAAGAAGAGAGAAAGAGAGAGAGAAAGAAAGAGATGGGGGGGTGAAAGGTTTTTAGTCTTCTCTTCCGTTTCTTTTTCTTTCTTTATCCTTTGTTCTGTATTAGCTCTGAGTTTATAGACCCTGTGAACAACAGTGGAATAACTCCTTCAGGGCGCAGGGGCAGCCTGGCAGGGGCAGCCTGGCAGGTGCTGAGGGCGACGATATGTGATACTCTCCACTCCTTCTCTCTGCCTTGTTTCTCCATCTTTTTATCCTGGCCCTCCTATATCTCCACCCTGTGATAAAATAAAGTTCTTGAGTGTAACATCACAGACCCCACACCCCACACCCCACACACCCCACACACCCCACACACCCCACACACCCCACAGACTCCACACACCCCACAGACTCCACACACCCCACACACCCCACACACCCCACACACCCCACAGACTCTACAGACTCTACAGACTCTACAGACTCTACAGACTCTACAGACTCTACAGACTCTACAGACTCTACAGACTGCTCCGTCTACATGTTTCCTTGCGGCCGTTTCCGTGTGGATTGTCACAGTGTGTGGAGTTGCTTGTCCTTGTTGTTTTTAATGGCTTTCTGTCATGGTCTTTCTGCTTTGGAAAAGAACACTGTTTTTGTCTTTTGAAATAAAAAAGGAAAAGCAAATGTTTGAAAACACTTGCCAATCATCACATGAAACTACAGCCCTGTTTCCACGGGCACAGTTCTGTTATGGGACTTGGAGCCAGGGCTGTGCAGTCAGCGGAGACAGTT